TACAAATGTCGTACTGTAATATTACATACTGGTACACAGCCATTTCGTATGCATTTACATGACTGTGATCGGATCGTAGTTTAACTCTGTGTTGCGCTTCTACTTTATCTATGCCCGTTGATTCGCATTTGCTGCCACGGCCATTCCCTCGCACATACCGATTATACTACTAATCCCACTAATACATTCATCATCAGACCCTACGATCCCAGGAACAACCTTCTCCCTGGTGCCGTGAGGACATCCGGAGAAGTCAATTTAGAGTATGAGAGCACCTTCGCCTTCACAAATGACTTCTCAGCTCTCCTGCCAGACACTCCACATGGTCAGGTGGGGTCAGTAGAAAATAACAATCTGTTCATCGCGGAGGCGGTAAGTCATTTCATGTGTTTTTTCAGTACATGGTTAGGTATAAATGCTAATAGAATGGACTTATATTTATGTATGTGTATGTGATTGCTATTTATGTATACGTGTGTAGCACTGGTGTCTATGTTACATACCTACAAGTGTATGGATATGTACACATACGTGTGTATAAGCCGTAATTATGCAGAAGTACGCATACCGTACGAATTGTTCGTGTGTTTGTATAGTTGTCATATACTGGTTATTCTGGCTGACGGAGTACTTATGTACTATATACGTTTAGCAAGGTGCATTTTGCGTATGTCATTTCGTCACGATATTTTGATACTGAGTTGCCCTATGATGTTCAGTCCAATTCCAACGAATACGTACAGTCCCAATGCAATCCTTCTGAGGAAATACGTACTCGCCGCAACTGCAGCAAGGTGCACTACAACTTGCACTTAGAGGCTGGTTGTTGTATTGCAGGGTCAGATCCAAATGAATCGTCGTAGTCTGCATAACATAACACATTCAACTCACTCCATTCAGTGTGTTCTGTTCACAGGTGCGAGGTGAATGTCGCGTGCTGTGCTTCCATCCCCGACACGACCTCACCATCGCAGAGATGACTCAGGAGGAAATACAAGCCATCGTGACACTTTGGACAATTCACTATGAGGACTTAGGTTCCAAACCGAGCATTAACTATGTTCAGATCTTCGAGAATAAGGGCGCTGCGATGGGCTGCTCTAATCCCCATCCCCATGGTCAGGTAGGTGGCCCGTTTTACACTTGGAAGCATTGAGTTGGGTGCTCATAATGTCCTTGCTATTTTGTAGCGTGCATATTAAATGTGATTGTATAAGTTGTATAACAGCTTCATCATATGCCCGCGGACCTCATAATGAAAGAACTATATCATTACGATCACAAAAGTCTATTAACAGTAGCTGTAGCTCGAACTAAACCCCACATGCCCACGCCTGTTTCAATGTTCAGATCTGGTCCGGTAGTTTCATACCGGAAAACAGTCGCGTGTCACTGGAATCCCAAGCAAACTATAAGAAGGCGAAAGGTATACTCCTTTTGCAAGACTACGTTGAACAGGAAGTGGAGAAAAAAATCCGAGTTATCGCTCAGAACGAGTACTTCGTAGCGGTGATTCCCTTTTGGGCTGCGTGGCCGTATGAGGTGATGATTATGCCAGCCCCAGGTCGCCACTACAAGTATGTGAAGGGTACCATATCTGGTTCTATGTGCACCGCTGCATACTCGTCAACGTAAACTCGTCGAGGCCCTTTGTAAATTCATCCGTCTGTGTGTACTGTATTGCTGATTATATTGGGGGAGTAAGCTTTGTGCGCAATGATAGGTCGTCTTTCCTGTCTGTATTATCGTAACGCTGTAGCTGGTCGTGCGGCCTGTGTTTGTGACTTGTGAAAGTTTAGGGCCAAATACCGTTGAAGTGGTATATTAACAATGCACTGTATCTTGGAACAACGAAATCTTCTTTAGGAAATCCCAATCATGGCAGTCCACCTCTTTGCTTGCTCGCAACTAAAAATTGACTATATTCTATTCTTTATTTCCAGGTCTTTATCCGATCTCGACGATGCTGCAAAGTCGGGTCTAGCAGATGCTATGGGGCGAGTGACCAGACGCTATGATAATCTGTTCGAATGTTCGTTCCCATACTCAATGGGAATTCATCAGGTATTTTTGCTAACCGTATTTAATACCAAAAATTATTATGATGTTACTTAATATGAGTTTATATGACATCCTGTGTGCTATATAAATATCGTGGTATATTCATATATATATATTGTGTACGGATATATATTATGTCAATTATCTAATGTGTATGCATGTATATATATATAAATATATATGTATATATGTGTGTGTGTATATATATATATATATATATATATATATATTGTGTACATATATATATTATGTCAATTATCTAATGTGTATACATGTATATATATATATATATATGTATAAATGTATGTATGTATATTATATATATATATATACATATATATATATATATATATATGTATGTATGGATGTGTATGTGTGTATATATATGTGTATGTATATGTATATATATATATGTATATATATATATATATATATATATCCTGTGTGTGTGTTTTTAGTATGTACATGTTTATATACATTTGAATATAATGATGAATTTAGCCCATCGTAACGCACTGTAAATCAAAATCATAATCTGATACAGCACGCCTCTCTTCGGCACATTCGGACAACATATAAATATAACGAAACCCGTGTACCCAACACAGGCACCCACGGATGGCAAGGATTACTCCTTTGCCCAGATGCATCTTCTCTATTACCCTTGTCTACTGCGTTCTGCCACGGTAAAGAAGTTCATGGTAGGATTTGAAATGCTGGGAGAGCCCCAAAGAGACTTAACGGCCGAGCAGGCTGCCGACAAGCTAAATGTGGTGAGCGATACGGAACATTACCGTAAGCGACTGTCGAAAGAAGAGTACGAGAAAAAATATTTATCGAACAAGTAGTATTTGTTCGAAAATGATAAAACAATTTTGTATTTAGAAGTCCAATCACAGTATTTAGAGTACAAAAAAGTTACAAAAGTTATAAATAGTCTAGTGAAGTGGCCTTGGCTTGCATTTATTGACGAGTACCAAATGTAGACATCGCATCGTGATGTGTGTAGAAGTCGACGCTGGCGATATAATACACCGACAGGCTTTCCTATCGATTCCCGAGTCGATTCATTTGAAAGTTGATATTTGAAAAGTAGTCAAAAATATGAAGAAAAGGCATCGTGTAAAGTTCTGGCTTCAATTGTTGCTCTGATGTTTCGTGTCATTAATGGAATATTTTGTGGTAAGCAACTCGGGATGAATCATCAATATCAATGGTTCACAATAGTTCAGTGATCGATAAATATCAGTATCAGTACTGTAAACCTTTTCTAATATTCTCAGCGCGTATTCTGGATGGTGATGAAGTGGTTAAAGCTAAAATAATTGCTTTGGCCATGAGAGGGAATTTTTTGCCCATTGTACTAGCAAATTCGGCTTGTCTCGATATTGTGTATGATAATCAAAAACAAAACCGACGGTATGTGTTATTCTCGCACTAACAGTAAGCTGTTATACAAATCCGGCAGCGCAAACATCACAAGTTACACCAACACCAATACTCTGGTATTAAACCATCATATTGAATACTCGCCGTAGATAACGGGCCTCAACGGATTCACGGATTCTATACTATGCTACAACTTTCTCACGAATTCACAAAGACCATCAATTCATCTACATTGTTGTGTAGCTCGGTACCTTTATTTGATGCAACTAATTGTACATATCGGTTGCTTGACATCTTTGAATGCTTCAGTGCCATGTAGCGCTTTTCACGGATCCACAGGAATAAAACAGCAAGCAGAGAATACACTTTGTATTCTGGTAACTTCGAGAGGCATGTACAGGATGAAGCTTCCAGGATCCTTGAAAGTAATAATCTCTAGATTGCAAAAGTATACATTTGCATGTATGTCGAAAATTCAAATGTATGGGGAATATTCCCGGAACTAGGCTCTCGTCTCACTTCTAATTTATAATCTTGTTAGCTGTTGTCCTGTTAGCTGAGTGATGGAGCGTTGCGAACTTGCCCATTTGCTTATGTTGCTGTGCTGACTCAATGACTCGATGAGCCTTTTTATTTTATGCCTATTTTTTATGCTAAATACTTCAAACTTCAGAACTCAGGGGAGAAGTCAGCTCAGATCCCACAACCTCAGTTGTGACCTCACAGGACTGGACGACTGGAGTTTGGAGAAGTGGAGATGTAGTTGAAGTAGTTCTGAAAGTATTATAGTACATACCACTATTCCATTCCTCATACATATTCTGAGACTCTGAGACTTGAGAGTGAGAAGTTCGAACTCCCAACTTGATACCAAAATAAAGTGCTAGCTTATGTAGTAACAATTATTTTAAATATTAAATAAAAGACCAATAAGAAAATCAATTTTAAATGTAATCTGCTCTATCAACTATAGAGAGTAGCATATTGACTCCCATGTTGAATCTTCGGAAGTTCACTAGTACAGTGACTGTACAGACGATATGACGATATATATGTTACAATGTATATATGTACTCAGTACTATATTCGACTCTGACTCTTCGAGTATCCACTCCTCACTCTCACAGATCTCGGAACTCACTGAAGTCGTCGGAGCTGAGAACTCGAACTTTGAAGTATGTATTTTTACGGTTGTGTTAAATACATACATGTACACACTAGTATCGTGTACCTTTCTTTTATATATTTTTGTGCAAGCAGATCCAGGTATTCGCCAATTTATCAGCTCCTTCACCCCTTTTATTTTCCGATTCCCTCCACTCCGTCAGGTTAACAACTATTTCATAGCCTTCTATATGAACAAGAAGGGTATAAAACAAGTCAGATCATCCAAAGCTCGTCATAACAAATAAAACCCTTTACCATTCAGTTCACAACGACAATCAACATTGCCGAATATGGTGGGAGTACAGGATATAGCAATGGGGGACACTAACACAGTTGTCGCCAACCATAAAAAGGGAGAGAGTAGTGTTGTTAGTGTTGGGAATATTTATACTGCAAGCGAAGATGCCTCCAGTGATATTGCTAAGGGAGAGGGGCAAGCTTCATTTGTCAAAACCGTCATTAATATCGTGACGGTAACAATTGGCGTCGGAATGATGTCCATGCCTCTTGCTTTCGCCCAGAGCGGATGGCTCTTTGCAATTACGTGTGTATTCCTGGCAGGTACCACGTCCATGTATACCGGTCACTTACTTGGTGTCTGTCTAGAAGAAGCTAATGAAGAACCGGGATGTTTTGTGAAATCGTACACTGAGTTGGGATTTGCAGCTCTGAAGACTCCGGGGGAGTGGCTCGCAGGGTTTGGCATATACGGGACATGTCTTGGCACTTCTGTTGTCTTCATCATTTTGGCCGAGAACATGTTCGGTATCATCTTCGGACCTGATGCATTGGACAAGAAGTTATGGGCACTTGTCTTTGTCGGTTTGCTATTCCCGTTCACCAGTATCAAGACACTAAACCACGTAGCCGTCATTTCATTCGCTGGTGCTTTGGCGTCGGTGATGGTTTTTCTTGTTGTTGTAATCGAAGACATCACAGAGGCCACCATTGGAGGAACCATTGGGTTGAAAACTGATACAATACTCTTTGAAACTGAAAACCCCATGCAACTAGCAACAGCTGCAACAACTATCGTATTCTCTTTTGCAGCGCACATTGTGTTCCCTGAAAGTTACCTACAGATGAGTGTACGATCGACATTTAGCAAGGCCGTGGTTTACGCATTCAGCTTTGCTTTGTTCATCTACTTGACCATTAGCTGTGTCTCGTATGGTGTGTATGGGGCTGACATTTTAAACGGCGACAACATACTCGATGTGCTGCCTAACAATTGGGCAACGAAGATGATGGCCGCTTTCTTATTGGTTCACCTTGTGACCGCATTCCTGGTGATTCTGAACCCGGTATATCGCGCAATCGAACTCGCGTGGGGCATAGATGATAAGCCTTACTCACTGGTGTGGATGATGACACTGCGAATCTTAATCATCGGATGCTCGTACTTCGTAGCAGTGGCGATTCCTTTCTTCTCTTCAGTCATGTCGTTGTTGGGAGCCACAACTATCACTGTGTCAACATTCACGTGTCCCTGTCTATTCTACCTCAAACTCTTCTGGCCCAAAAAGAGAAACGCAGACCCAGCTCTGAGCGTACCTCAGATGACACTGGAAGAGTACTCGAACGATGCACAGAAGTACAATCCCGCGTCCCAATCATCGGCATCAATGCAACCAAGTGTACAACGAAGGACCGCTACGCCAACAGAAATTGTTATTTGCCTATCAATAATTGCGGTCACAACTTTCATTGGTGCCTTGTCTACCTATCAATCTATCAAAAATATCGTCGACAACGCTGCTAACGAGAAATTTTTCGGTTAGTCTGTGTAATCATATAAAATTGAACCAACTTGTTTTTAACTTAACATGAATACAATGCATAAATCCATAAGACGTGTATAACATGCAAACAAATAAAAATACTAATTAAAACAATACCATGTATATTTATATATATGTAACTAAGCATGTATATACACACACACACACACACATATATATATATATGCATATGTATATATATATATATATATATATATATATATATATATATGCGTGTATGTGTGTGTGTGTGTGTGTGTGTGTGTATGTGTGTGTGTATGTATATATATAAATATATACAT